AACACAAGCAGGGGGAGTGGGAGAGGGAGAAGCAGGCTTCCCGCGGAGCAGAGAGCCCGATGCGGGGCTCGATCCCAGGACTCTAAGATCATGACCTGATCCGAAGGCAGATGCTTAACGACTAAGCCACCCAAGCAGGTGCCCCTCCTCCTCCTCCTCTTGGAATTGGTGTTTCCCAACAGTACAAACCAACACCGATCCATCCGGCGGGGCTCCTCGGCAGGTGCACAGGTTCACCGTGGACCAAGTTACTCCCCTAGTTCTCCATGCTCAGCTCTGGCTGCTCCTTGCACAGTTGGATGATGCTGTATGCATTCCTCAGTTTCCCCTGATTTTTCCGAACTCAACTTCTCCTTATTCTTACTTCCTTTGGCAACCTCCTGCAACACCATTGCCTTGTCCTTCCTTGGGTTATTCTCATCCTCCAAACCTGCTGATTTTCTGTCTTCCATCTGCTCCCTCCGTTCTCTGTTTTCAGTGTGGACTCAGCTCAGGCTCCTGCAGGAGACACACAGTGAAGGGACCAAGGAAGGTTTCAGCTGCAGTCCCCAGGGCTGCTTAACAGGCACCTCAGTCCTTCGTGCACTCACAGAAACTGAGCAGGAAGGGACTTTGGAGAATTTGAATAACAACCTTATCTTACCAATGAGGAAACTGAGTCCCAGAAAGATTAAGAGATTTTCCCAAATTCCTTCATCAGTTGATGGCAGCAGAGCCCCCACACAGGCCTTGGCTGCAAGCTTCCCTGTCGAGGCACCTAAAATACCCTCCGGGAACCCACATCTAAATTTCAGGGGACACTGAAATGAGAAGTTCAACTTAAAAATAAATAAATACTTTTCAGGAGACTTTGGATCAAAGGTAGATATTTCCATTGTTAAAAATACCAGAAAGTCCTTCCTGGGGACAAATCTTTTCTCCCAGGTATATAATTCTGTTACTTCTTTCACTTTCAAATCATTGGCTAAGAGATTAGGATCACAGAAAAGGTATGCAGGGAAGGACAAGTTCCTCTGTTACCCATCCTGGTCTTCCAGCCTAAGTAAGAATTAAGTTTACCTGAGTGGGAGTGCTTCAATTTACATTGAATACGCATGGAGAACGGATATTGAAATTGAGACCTTTAAAGAAATATAAAGTATTAAGGCAGACAGTTTTTATGCATTTTAGACAAGGAGACAATACATTTCTGAGGGATTTGGGGGAACTTTAATTTGGAGAGCGTCTACGCCAAATCTAGAACCTCTGCTTTAAAGTCCCTGGTGAGAAGGATGTCTTTTTACTTCTTAGTACAGGGGGTGCCTTTTTCATATGGGAGATTGGTTTCCTGCTTTCAGGGAGACAGAGGAGAGTTGGAGTGTCCTTGCACCAGTTTCTTTTCGAGTAGCTTCAATTCAAAATAATCAGTATTGTCGACCTCAGAGAGTCGTGGACCTGGGGCAGTGAAGGAACTGAGAAAAAGAGACGACAGTATAGCGAGGCACAGGGGACCCCGAGCAAACAGCCCGAGGTGCCGAGGTTTATTTTCCATAATCTAATATACCTTCTACAATGATATAGATCTATAATGATTTACAGCAGGGGCTTAATAAGGCACATTCTTCCACGTACACAGGGTTAGTCAAGTGAAGCAATGGGAGTGGAGAAGGAGTAAAGAAATCTGTAACTGGCTGTGATCAATTAATTGTAAACACCATTGTACTCAGACCTTAACACAGGATAAGAGAACTAAGAAGGGAATGCACAGTGTGCTGTTTACAGCTGGCTTCCTATCTACGAAACATCTTCTGCTGTGTACTTTAGAACAGAGCACATACATCCCAAGGGCATTTCACTCTGATCCTTTCGGGTTATTTTTAACCCTGCAACTTGGAGTTTTCTCAGAGATCTCGGAGTCTGAGTGAACATGCACCAGTGGTCGTTGTGGCGTTCTGTTTCCCACAAATATGCCATTGTGGTACATTCTGGGCAATCTGACCTTGGCGCCTATGGGTACCATGGTTTCTCTCAGCCTTGCTCATTACTCAGTGCCTATTTCAGAGAGAAAGCTAAACATATTATTCTTAGAAATACCAAGGCGCACCTGGGTGGCTCAGTTGTTTAAGTGTCAGTCTGTGGCTCAGGTCAGGATCCCAGGGTTCTGGGATAAGCCTCAATGTCCAGCTCCCTGCTCAGTGGTGAGTCTGCTTCTCTCTGTCCCTCTCCCACTCCCCCCACCACCACTCCTGCTCTCTCAAGCACTTTCTCTCAAATAAGTAAATTAAAAAACTTTAAAAAGCAATGCAATGGTCCTCTCTGGAATCAACCCACTTAAAGCGTGCTTTCTTTTTGCTGACTCCCAGTCCCCCCATTTCTCTTTATTACCTGTCTGACCTACATCCTTCCCCCAGTGATGGAGCCGGCTCAGATGCACTGCTTAACCTGGAGGTGGGGCCAAAGAGAAGTGCACACGTGGCTAGAATGGGCTGCCTTGAGAGTGAGCCATAACGTAGCTGCCGGCAGTTAGAAACGAGCCTAAAGGACCATTAGGAATAAACACTGTGATATTTAGTGGTATGGATTTTAGGTGTGGTATTGATATCAACTTCCTCGTACAAATGTGTTTAGACTCAAGCATGAGAACATGGGATCAGACAAAATGAAAGAAAACTGTGTCAAGTGTGAAGATACTAAGTTACCAAAGTTACTCTGAGTAGTATAATTAGTTTGTCCCTTAGCCCCTCATTTCCACCTGCAGAACCTAGAAAACGATCAACAGAGTCTCCACTTGCCATCAAAGTCAATCTGAGGACACAATAATTTAAACTGTTAACCCAAACTTTCCATTTTTTTCTTAACCTGTGTTGAATACCAGGCATTTTGATTGCCCATTCCCATTTTCAATGAGACTGCAGTGAGGACAGACAGTGAAGTGGTGCATCCAGGTAATATTCTGTTTCTTGGTTTGCTTCTGTGCTCAGCGTGTCAACTTTTGTCTGCCAGTGGACCTCTGACCACACACGGGAAACCCAACAAATATTAAAAGTGTAGGTTCTCTGGGTTGATCTACATTTAGGATTCTGTAGGGCTCTGAATGGCTCTTGATCTGCAAGGACCAAGGTAGATGCCACCTCCTTTCCTTAGGGGGAGTAATTCTGATTCCTGAAGCGTGCACCTGTTCATTTTTTATTTATTATTATTATTTTAATCTCAGCTAGGCTCCATGACCAACGTGGAGCTCTAACGCATGACCCTGAGATGAAGAGTTGCACGCTCTACCCACTGAGGCAGCATGAGTTCCCCCAGCATCTTTGAATCAGGCATATACCATGATTTTCATGTTGGCAAAAATAGTTCAAACTCTGGGACATGCCTTCAATCTGCTCCACCCCTTCTGGGCATGTTTCCTGAGGTTCCTGCTGTGTGCAAGTCCTCTTTCCCACCCACCCATAGGAGACCCTCTAGGAACCCAATCCAGATCCCCTGGGATCTCTGTGGTCCTTTCTGTGTTCTCCTCTCCTGCTCTCAGTGTGTTTGTGCTTCTAAAGACACCTGTGAGTAGGACTGTTTTTGGGGCTCCTGGAGCTTCTTTGTACCCAGTCCCAGAGAATGGGGAGTACATGCAGTATATGACCCCCAGCCCGAGGTATCTCCCCTCCCCAAAGGCACTCAGCCCTTCACTAACAGGTGCAGGAGGGTGAAATCCCCTTTCTTGGCCTGGGGGAGACTAATTGTAAAACACAAGTGACCCCCAGGTTCTCCTGACCTGTCAGGACAAAGCTTCCCCACAGTTGTTGCTGGAAATCACACCTTACACAGCAATGAACTCAAAATGGTCATAGACCTAAGTATAAGAGCCAAAACAACAGTTCAAGAGGAATACGTGGGAGAAAATGGTCAGGAATTTGCATTAAGCAAAGAGTTCTAAATCACTACAGCAAGAACACGATGCGTAAGAGAAAACTGAAGATGAAGAACTTTTTTGCATCAAACTTTACCACTGAGAAAAGGAGGAGAGTAGCCACTGATTAAGAGAAAATATTTGTGGATTAAATACCCAATGAGGACTCACATTCACAAGAGACAAGAGTACTTTGAACTCACTCAATGAGCAGAAGCAACACATTTGTTAAAGCCAGTATAAGACTGGAAAACACATGTTACCCAAGAAGACACATAAGTGGTTCACAAGCACATAAAAAGGTAATCAATGTTATTAGTCCTCAGGGAAATGCAAGGAAAACCAGGTACCATTTTACACCAACTAGTGTGCTTATGTTCCAAAGACAATACCAAGTGGTGCTGAGGATGTGGAGAAACTGGACCGTCCTATATTGCTGGTGGGAACGTAAAATAAAAGAACCCCTTTGGGAGCTACTTTGAGAGTTCTTAAAAGTTTAACACAAGCTTCCCATAGGACCCAGCTATTCCACAACTAGAAATCTACGTGAGAGAAGCAAAAACATATGTCACTCAAGTCTCGTTCAGAAATGTTCGGGGCAGCGTTATTCACAATAGGAAAAACCTGACAACAACACAAAGGGTCATCGGCTGGTGAATGGACAAACAAAACTGTGGCCTATCTGTACCATGGCATCTATTCGGCAACAAAAGGCAGAGAAATCTGATCCAAGCTACAGCATGGAGGAACCTGAAAAGGATGCTAAGTGAAAGAAGCCAGTCACCAAGGACTACGTATTGTCTCATTCGGTTTATGCAAAGTGTCCAGAAAGGAGCAATGGACCAAGACAGAAAGCAGATCAGTGTTGCTTGGGGCTGAAGGAGGGAGCGGAGATTGTCTGTAGAGGGGTTGGACGGGGTGTGGGAAGGTGAAGGAAGCCTCTGAAACAAACTAGGGCACTAGCTGAACACCTCTGTCATTGTAGGGTACTTTTACAATGGGTGAACTTTATTGTATGTAAATTTCACCTAAAAAAAGAAAGAAGGTGACAGTCCCACATCAGTGGGTCCTGGGGTCCCCAGGCAAACACTGCCTGGTGAGGGGCCACATCCTGGAGTCCCAGCAGGTGGTGACTCAGAGCTTGGTTTCCTGACCTCCCAGCTGGAGTCAGGGATTCAGTGCCTGTGCCTTCAGCCTCCGCCCCTGCAGTTCCCCTGGACACCACCAGGCGGCAGACGACTTAAGGGAGGGGCCCTCCAGGTGGCCCAAGGAGACCAGGGGGCAGCAGGCAAAGACAGGGGCACCAGGTGGCTGGAGATTGGAGGAGGAAGTGAGGGCTGCCGGACCCATGGAAGCCGCTGGCAAGATCTGGATGGATCTTAAGTAGGTTTGGTCCCCTGGGTGGGCTCTAGCCACCAACCTTGAGGGTAACAGCCAAAGGTTCCCTTTGATGCTCCCTCCTGCACTGGCACTGACGCTCCCCTCCCCCGCTCAGCATAGGGAAGAGCCTGTGTTGTTATTCACCTTCTTCTGAGTCTAAATGGAACACTTTGGGCTGGGTTTAGGGGAATCTGCCCTTTTCTGGCTGTCTATATAGGACCAGGTCCTGGGTGCTGAGCCATCCCTGCAGGGGCCTAGAAGGGGCGCTCTGGTCCTTCACATTGGAGCTGGGCTTGCAAAGAAGGGTTCCTGCTAATCCATATTTCCCTGGCCTAGGCTGGGCATCCTGGTCCAAGATCAGGGGCTGCAGTGACCTAAAATAAGGAACCTCCTGTGTGTCACTGCTCCTCTCTGGCAAAGTCCGAAGAAGGCCCATGGTAGTGGTGGGGGGAGGGGAGGGCACAGACTCCTACACTCTGTCAAGACACCGTCCACCGTGAAGATTTAAAAAAAATGTTAGAGGACAGATCTCCTATTATATAGTCGGTGGTGAGGTAACAGCTCTGCGTGGTGACAGAGGGTAGCTACACTTGTAGGCAGCCTGACATAATTTATAGAGTCGTCCAATCACTGTGTGTCATGTGAAACTGATGTCACATGGGGAATCCACTATGAATCAATTAAAAAAAAAACCTGAAGATGAGGGGGAAACATTTGAAAAGGAAGCAATGAAACTATAGTTGACTGGGGAACAACACGGGTTTGAATTGTACTGAACAATGTGGGTCCACTCACGGGTTGATTTTTTTTTTTTACAAATATAGTCTAGTACAAATATAGAAAATACACTTTCTCTTCCTAATGATTTTCTCAATGATGTTTTCACTCTAACTCACTGTATTGAAAGAATAAAGTATATAATACAAGTAACATACAAAATATGTGTTAATCAACCGTTTTTGTTATCTGTAAGACTTCAGTAGGGTATTAGTAGTTACGTTTTTTGGGGAGTCAAAAGTTATACACAGATTTTCAATTGTGGGACTCTGTACCCCTAAGCCCCAGGTTGTTCAAGGGACAATTTGTATCTGTATTTGCAGATGACATGCTCCTGTATACAGAAAAATACCAAGTACACACACACACACAACCCGACCACTAGAGTCCATAACCTAATTCAGCAGAGTTGCAGGGTACAACACAGACAGATCAGGTGTTTCTATACCCTAGGATTGGACACTGGGAAAAGTTGATTAAGAAAACAATTCCATGTACAAAAGCACCCATCAGAATAGTATCTAGGAATAACTGAGTCAAGGAGGCACAAAACCTGTACACTGAAAACTACACAACATTGCTGCAAGAGATTAAAGAAGACCTAAACAAGTGGAAAGATATCGTGTGTTCACGGATTGGAAGAGTTAAGGTAGTTAAGAAGGCAACCCTCGAATTAAGAGGGTTCCTGTTGCTTAGTCTATCTGTTGGGCACAGTCTCTATTCCCAGCACTGTGTGAGCACCAGGCCCTGTGCAAAGGATTGCCCCCTGACTTGCTGTCCATGCCAACCCAGGGCCCCTCCACAGTTCTGGCTAGTGATTTCCCGCAGCTCTGTCCTCCCTGGGACTCAGTCCTGGGGTCTCTCAGATCAGTGTCCTCAATTCCAGGAGGTCCACGGGGCTCCTCTTCAGGTTCCCCTCCCCCCAGTGCCTTGCTTGGAAACTCTCTGGAGCCAGGACCTCTGAGCAGCTCTAGGGCTCCGCTCACCTGTGTCCAGGATGGCTGTCCCCTTTGCCTGATGCCCAGGATCTTGGAAATCTCCATTTCGTGCATCTTGTGTGGCGCTGTTGCTGTTTTGTTTAATTGTTTCAGGCAGAAGAGTAAACCAGCTCCTGAGTCCCAAGTGGTGTGGCTCCCCTAAGTGAAAATCAAAGATGGAAAACCATCAGTTGTAGATTCTGAATAGAGGCCTTTAGGGAGTAGAGAAAAAACACCAGCTCAGCTGAAAGCATGAAGCCAGAAACCCCTTCAAGCTCAGATTTACAAAGCAAAGCAGCTACAGCAGTAGGGACAGTTTTTGCTTGAGCCCGAGAGCTGCAGAAGGCCCACGGCCCCTTGTCCAAGAGCTAACCTCCTGTTTGGGAAAGGTCTGTGGTGCCAAACCCAAGGGTCCTTTGGGAGTAGACAGACCTGCCTCTCTAAAAGCCTGTCAGGGGGCGCCTGGCTGGCTCAGTCCAGAGAGCACGGGAGTCTCCATCTGGTTTCGTTAGCCCAATCCCTACTTTGGGTGTAGAGATTACTTCAACAAATAAACTTATAATAAATAAATAGTATATCAAGCTGGACCGTCTCTAGTCTCAGAAGGGTCCTCTGGAGCAAGGCTGAACTAGGTAGGCTACCAAGTAGCCTAATCAAGGATAGGGAGGCTGGGGATTGGGTGAGGCTTTGCAGGGTGCCTGGTGGGATACGTGGCGAGGGGAGGGAGGAAGGAGAAGGGACGCCTCCCTGTGTTCCGTGGGGAGTGAAAAGAAAGCACTTTCGCTGTATCAGGGACTGCAAACCACGTACTGAAATATAAGCAGAGACACTGCTCTGCGAAAAACAGAAAAAAATCCCGACAGCCAAAGTGGGATGTATGACCTGTGGACAGAAACTGTCCTGCGGGCTTTTGATTGAGAGACAGCCAAACCCAGATTCTCAAGAAAGCAGCCCTGAAAAGCTGCGGTGTTTTCTTCAGCGTCCAGGTATCGCCTCAGTGAGCTTCCTCTTCAGCCACTGGCATCAGCCAAAGTCATGGAAAAGACAAAAACAAACAAACAAAAGGAGTAAGAAAACAAAAGCTATTTTAAGCAACCAACAACAGGTGAAAGCGCGGACGCAGTCCCCACTACCACAGATTACGCAGTCGAGGTGTCCACACTCGGGGAAATAGCAGGGGACAGCACGTCCGCGGTGCATGGACGGGCCTCGCGTGGGAAAACCACCTGCTTGATCCTGGCGTCTCCCCTGCCAGGTAAGTGGGACTCGCTCCGCCTCCGCCCCACACCAGTCTCACCCGCCTTCCACCGGACACACACGCTCACTCGCCTAGCCGCACCCCAACACCCTCGGCACCCACTCCTGTCCCAAGCATCCTCAGCCTCCACCCGACGCTTCCGAATGCGATGGAAGAAACCGCGCGGCTACTTCCTCAGCCCCGCGAATTCTAAGGCGCAGAACCGCACCCCGACGTTGCCTGGTTTACATCAGACCCGCCCCGTCTGTGACGTCAAGGGCTTCGCCTCAGTCCCCACCCCCACCCCCACCCCGTCTCGCTGCCCCCCCGCTCCCCTCCCACGTTGGATTTCAGTACTGGTGCTCTTCCTTCTCTTCCTCTCCCTCCTCCTCCTCCTCTTTCCTCCCTCCCCGCCTTCTCCCTCCCCCTGTCCTGGCTTCCTTCCTCACCTTCCCAGTCTCCTCCATCTCCTTCCCTCTAGCCTGATTTGGTTACCACTCCTCCTCCCTGTCCCTGCAGCTCTGGCCCCCAAACCCTCCACACACACACACACACACACACACACACACACACACACACACACACGGCCGAGCACAGGGAAGGCTGCGCCAGCCAGAGAAGAACAGGAGGGAGGACTTTCCACCAGCCCGCGCGGCACAGATACATCTCCCCGCGCCCTCTCTCTCCCTCTGCTGGGAACCTGGTTTGGAGACACGGAGTGCGGTGGCTGCACCTGTGGAGCTCAAACCAGTCCCCACCGCACCCCCCAGTTCTGGACACCCCGGGGGGAAGGGGGGAAACCAAAAGTCCGCAACCTCTGGGCCCTCGGGCTGACACCTGCCCGCAACACCCCACACGCTGAAAACATCCCGGGGCCTGCTGCTTCACCACGCGGGCTCCTAGGACAGGGATGGCGCGCCCCCTCGTGGCCGCGTGGGGAGGCGCCCAAGGGTCCCGCTGTTGAGGGCAGGGCCAAAGGAGACCACCCCTTCTGCTCACTTAGACCAGGCTCAGTTCTCCGCAGGGGGTTAGTGGGGTCCCAGGCTCCCCACTCTGCCACCGCCTTCCCTCCCTCCCACCGCTGGGCGCTTCCCCCTGGATGGGATTTCTGCAGTCAAAGTCGGCCTTGGGAGGGTAAACAGCCAGGTCTGGAAAACTAAACAGAATAAATACTTTGAAGAGATTTGGGCAATTGTATGGACATAGGTGGAGCGCCCTAGGATTCTGATTTGCCTTTGTCTTAGTTGCGCCTTGAGGTAGTGGTTTACTTCTACCGGACTGTTGAAATTAGAGAAGATTGGAGGGCGGAGAGGGGGCGTACAACTTTAGTTGTCACCTGAGATCATAGTGTGCTGGTGGGCAGAATAATGCCCCCTCCCTAGGAGCTGCCCATGCTAATGCCAGGAACCTGTGCCCATGTTCCATCCCGCAGCAAAAGGGACCCTGCCGAGGTGCTATGTTAAGGACCTTGAGTTGGACAGATGATCCTGGATTCTCTAGGCGGCCCCCTGCAATGACAAGGGGGTCTTAAAACCCAAAGAGGCAGAGAAGGAGGTCAGAAGGAGGCTGTGTGAGGAGGACTCTGCCTGCGGGGGCTGGGGCTGGGGCTGAGCACGGAGGAGGGGCCTCTAGGAGCTGGAACAGGCAGAGAGACTCACTGTCTGCTTAACCGAAAAAATAGAAACTGCCAGTTATTTTACCAGCAAAAACGGGATTGGTGGGGAATAAAAGGGAAAGGCGATTTCGGACAAACAGCTGTGGCAAAACCATAGGCCAGTCCCGAGAATAAAGGGGAGGTAAGCTCTTCTTTTTGGAGAGAAAGGGTCAGTTGGGAAGGCTGTTATAAAAGCCCATCGGGGCGAACTGTGAGTTGGAAGTGTGCTGGCGACTCCCTGGGGGACAAGGCTAGCGTTTCTTACTCTGGCCGGGTTAGTAGAGGCCTATCCATGTGCGATGTCAAGTCCCTGTAAGGTCAGATCAGTCTCTTCCCCTGGGGGCTGCGATGCCCTAGGAGGTAAGGAGGGCGGAGGAGCTCCCTTGCTGAAGCCTCAGGACTGCATTTTAGTGAGGTTTCCCTTGACTTACTTCCACCCTCTCCTAGAGCCTCCAGAAGGGAAGGTGGCCCTGTGGACATTGGATTTTAGTCCAGTGAGAGCCTTGTTGGGACTCTGCACCCTCAGAACTGTAAGATAAAAAAAGTGTGTGAGTGGAGCCCTTTCTGGGGTGTCTTCGGGAGCAGCCCTGCAGTGCCTGGAGGGGGGCTAGGCATCCCTGCCCCTCCTTGAGCGCCTGGGTTGCAGTCCAGGGATGTGACACACCTGATGGCTTCCCTCTCTCCCTAGGGAACAGAAGTCAGCCCCGGGCTCAGGGTCACCCATGAGACCCCCCAGAAAGGCTCTGAGGAAGCCCGGACTTGCCAGGAGGCCACTGGTAGTCGTGCTCACCTTCCTGCGGAGGACACTTGAGACAACAGAAATGAGCAGCGCGGCCTCACGTGCTTTAACGAGCCACGCCCACTGGCCCAGGCCTTTTGCCCACAGACTGCAGGACACCATGCACTCAGTCCCACGCAAGGGGCGCTGGGTCTCCTGCGCCCTCCCCCAGCGTCAAGCGAAAACTGTCTCCGAAAAGCCGACGAGACGGCGGCAGGGGAGCAGCAGAAGAAGCGCACGTCCCCGGGTTCACCCTCAGCCCCGGGTGGACCTCCACAGGCTGCGGGACGGGCCCTAAGAGCAGCTGCTGCCGCTGTACAGCACCCCCCAGCGGCGGAGGCTGACCCGGGTTTGACGGGGGAGGCGGCACTCAGTGCTGACGCGCCTGCGCAGACCAGGAAGGAGGCTCCCCGGCGGAGAAGCCCCAGGCGGTTAAGATGCCCCTGCGGGACCCGGACCCCATCCTCCTGCCAGAGATGGTGGGCAGCACGGAGGCTGTCTGCAATGGCTAGACCTTCAGCCAGGTGGAAATCAAGCCGCTACCTGCGCGAGGTCTCCATCACCTCCAAGCCTGGGAAGCAGGGCAGCCCTGCCTGGGCGTCCTGGAGTCCCCTGGTCCTCCTGCTTCATCCTTCTCAAGTAGCCTGTTGGGCCCCTAAGGGCAGAGGCTTCTCTTAAAACAAAACAAAACAAAACAAAACAAACAGTGCCCTTAGAGCTGGCGCAGTGCTTTGTAAATAGAAACTTGAAGGGGTTTCTTACTTCGACGTTTCACCCGGGCTCTGGCTACTACATCCTGTAAAAGTCTGTATTCAGAATCTACGTGACATTTCCCAACTTGATTTTAAAATACGGGAGCCACACCAATACGGACTCAGGGGAACTGGATTTACTCTCCTGCCCAAAAGAACAAAGCAACTACAAAGACAGAAAAGATGCATGAAATGCGCATTTCCAAGATACCGGGTTTCAGGCAAAGGGGACAGCCTCCCAGACAGGGAAACACACAGCTGAGCGGAGCCCTACAGCTGCTCCAAGGTACAGGCCAGAGAGTTTCCAAGCAATGCAGTGGGGGGCGGGGGGAGGGACAGCAGAGATTGAAGAGGAGCCCTGGGGACCTCCTGGAGTTGAGGACACTGCTCTGCGAGTCCCCACGACAGCGTCCCCTGGAGGACAGGTCTGAGGAAAGTCACCTAGCCAGAGCTGCGGAGGAGCCCTGGGGCTGCATGCAGTGAGGTCCTGCTCAGGGCCTCCATGAGAGGCAAGGCCAGCAAGTCAGGGGGCAATCATTTGAAAGCAGTAGAGGGAACGGGGCCTGGAGCTCTCGCAGGCGAAATGACCCCTAATCAGGAGACAGATCAGTCATCTGAAAATAACCCAGAGCTGACACATGTGAGAACCGCCAGAGAAGGATATGAAAGCTTTTATTACAACTGTTTTCCATCAGTTGGAACTGTTAAACAGATAAATAGAAAATATAAACAAGACCCTATCTATCTTTAAGAGATGAAAACTACGATGTCTGAAAGGAAATGTACTACAAGGGTTTGACAGAATTTAGAAAATGCAGAAGTAAAAATTTTGATAGAATTGTATTGAATCTGTAGATCTATTTGCATAGTATTGCCATACGAACTACATTAAATCTTCCAATGCATGCATACATGTTTTTTTTTTTCCCATTTGGTCTTTCATCTCTCGCAGAAGCAATGTTTTATGCTTTTCAATGAACAAGTCTTGCTTCTCCTTGAATGAATTTATGCCTAACACTTTTACTGTTTTAAGTGCCATTGTAAATGGAATTGCTTTCTAAATTTCCTTCTCAGATTGTACATTGCTAGTGCATAGAAACACAACTGATTCTTGTACATGTGGTACCCTGCCACTTATGGAATGAGTCTATGGACTCTAATATTTTTGTGTGTGGATGATTTGAGATTTTTCTATCTTTAGGAGCATGTCCTCTGTAAATAGAGATACAGGTTGACCCTTGACCAATGCAGGGTAAGGATGGTGACTCTCAAGATCAAAAACCTGTGTATAACTTTTGACTCCCCGAAAACTTTACTAATAGCCACTTGTTGACTGGAAGCCTTACTGATAACATAAAGTCAATTAACCCATATTTTGCAAGTTATATGTATTCTACACTGTACACTTCTAGTAGAGTAAGCTAGAGAAGAGAAAATGTTATTAAGAAAATCATAAGGAAGAGAACATATATTTAGAGTAATACACTGTGTTTATAAAAAAATGCATGTATAAGTGTACACGTGCTGTTCCAACCTGTGTTGTACAAGGTCAACTGTAGTTTTATTTCTTCCTCCCCACACTCTTTTTTCTCACATTCAGTTTTGAAAAGTATTTTGGCTGAGGATAGAATTCTATACCTAGAGAGGGATTCCTGAGTCTCCTCTTGATTAGAACGAACTTTTTAAGTTCATCCCTGACATTAAATCTAAATTAGACCTGCTTTGGGGCTTGGAAATGGGGGAAAAATCACCCTCCTTTCTTCTCACTGCATTTTAGACTTCCTCCTAAAAATGAGTGTCAGGGGGCGCCTGGGTGCTTAGTCCTTAAGCGTCTGCTTTGCACTCAGGTCGTG